GCTGAGTGGTTTTGTACCCCCCCCCTCCCCTCCGTGAGAATTGCGTTCGCTTATGTTGAGACTCACCTAAGGTAACACTCATAACTCGTTCAGGGAAACATTTGCCAAATTTGAAAATCAGAGTTGAGATCAGCATTTGCAGACACGACCACCAGCTTAGATCTCATCTCAAACGGCGACTTCGGCATGGGATCTTCCCTGGTCAGACCCCAGGGGCGGGTGTGGGCGGAAAAAGTTAATTCAGACCCAGGTCTTTCGAAATTGATAGAGGTGCAAGCGGCAGTATCGGGAAGCTGATGGCAGGGGTAGGTTTGGACTCACCAGCAATTGCGGGCACTATCGAAAAGTTGCGTTTGAGGGGAAATCCATAACCTTAGTTCTCATGGACTTGGGGCTTTCAAATTTGGTAGGGATACAGATGGTAGGATTAGACCAGTAATGGTGGTAAAAAGTGTCCGAACTGTGTTCTTTTCGCGGGGTGAAGGGCGAAGCATGCTTGAAGTGAACCTAGTTTGGGTATACTAGCGCAGTCAAGTTGAAAGAAGGTGGAATGAACGAAGTTACTTGACATACATGAGTTGAACAGGATTCCATTCATGTCGGGCGAGGCGCTCGTGAAATGTGTCGGGTGTGTATGTGTCTGGATATTCATACCTTCTGTTCGTCCAAATCGTCAAAAGTGGTAAGGGATGTATGCGACATTTGACACGAAAAAGAGATGCGTCGGGCGTTAGCCGGTCGATCCGCCCAGTGATGCACGGGCTGTTTTTGATGCTGCATTTTGTGGAAGTTGGATCGTTCGATTGATTAACTACGTACGATCAGCGCTCGCTTTCGACTCAATTGGCAATTAGCTTTCTTCCGGAATCATACGTCACAACAGTAGGCATTGTAACTTATTTTGTTGCATAATAGCTCTTCATTTGTCATCTTTGGAGCTGATTTCAGTCCTTTCATCCGCCTTTTCTCTGGGTCATGGGAGTTTTATAGTATCACTGAGCAAAGACCAGTGAAATGAACTTCTTACCCGCTTTCTCTCGTGTGCTTACATTGTTTGAAAAAGTGGGATAGTTTTAGTACTCTGTAAGCGGAATCACTTCAAAATCTAGGAGAGATCTATAATATAAGAAGATCTATATATAAGGAATCTATAATGGAAATCCCTGTGCGTAAGGTCATAGGCAAGATTTCGATCACAGTCATGCTCATCCACTGAAATCAGGGGCAACTCTACTATTTCATGACTATTGCTCAGAATTTTTTTGTACTGTGCGTCTAAAGTTCAAGGGAATGTGTCCTCATAGCATTATTTTCAGCTGTGGCCTTGTATGATTACGACGCCGACAAACCTGATGAGTTATCGTTGCGAGAGAATTGCATAGTGTACGTGCTGAGGAAAAACGATGATGGCTGGTATGAAGGCGTGTTGGATGGGGTGACAGGACTTTTTCCTGGAAACTATGTTCAACCCGTCTGACCACTTGTTTCTATCAATCTTTGAGATGGTTTCAATCTGTGGCACTTTTGTAATTCCACCCGTCATCGAGCAAAGCATCGATCTCCGGGTTCGCAGCGTTGCTGACGTTTTTGTTCATGTTTTATATTACCAATAATTATTTGAAAGGCTGTGATAAGTATTTCAAATTATAAGTGTACATTTGATCATATTTTCCGAATGAACATTGTTTTTTAATCCGCGGTCGTTGATGAAGATGGCATCAGAAACACATCGCTGAGGGTTCGAACATACGCTGATTCACTTNAACTATGTTCAACCCGTCTGACCACTTGTTTCTATTAACCTTTGAGGTGGTTTCAATCTGTGGCACTTTTGTAATTCCACCCGTCATCGAGCAAAGCATCGATCTCCGGGTTCGCAGTGTTGCTGACGTTTTTGTTCATGTTTTTATATTAGCAATAATCATTTGAAAGGCTGTGATAAGTATTTCAAATTATAAGTGTACATTTGATCATATTTTCCTTATGAACATTGTTTTTTAATCCGTGGTCGTTGATGAAGATGGCATCAGAAACACATCGCTGAGGGTTCGAACATACGCTGATTCACTTCGGCATTCATCGGTACCGTCAGAATAATACCCGCTAAATCAAAATCGTTTACAGTAGCTGTTAAAACTACTCAAAAAGATCTCTCGAAACTTACAATCTGGATCGATTCCTGAATCTCTTTTTCCGCCTTTTCAAACGATTCGCGTCGTTTGTTAATTTGCCATTTTCTGAACTTGGCGTTGCTGTCGTGTCTGAATTTAATGCATTTGGTTATTCGTTCACAGCTTTCGTTGTATGAGGAAGATGCAAAAATGTCAGAAAAACGAGTGAGCTTTGCCAAAATTGTAGGAAATCTGGAAGGGACAATTCTTTCGTATCAGAATGACAGGTTAGTAAATAAAAAAGAAATCTTTACATCATTCTCTGTTCCGATTCCGGATTATTTTTATTTTATAAATTCTTGGTAGTCTGGTGAAACTGAATCATTTGGTCGTATTATATAGTCGTTTTGATGGGTTCGTCTCAAAAAACACAGGTCTTGATTGCTTTATTGGAAAGGAAGTTGGGTAAGGCCTGATCTACGGAGAACGGATGGTGGAACTTCTTCCCGATTTCCCACCTTCGGTTTGCGGCATGCGGCAGACCTTTTTAGTTATTCCAGTTAGTTATCCCATACCAATTCAAGGGTACTGCAACTACCGTACTCACAATCAGTTCGCCTACCCGCCAATCGATAGGACGGATATTTTTCATTGTTTGACATTCCTTTTTGATTGTTCGATTGTTTCTTCTGTTTCTTTTCCGTTTTTATGTTTATTAGACTCGGTTGTTTGGAATGTCTCCTCGTACACATATTATCGACGATCAAGACCGCAATGGAATTCAAGGTTGGACCAGCCAATTCAAATGTTTAAAGGACTCCCTATTCACATATTGTGTGCTCCAATCTTCCATCCCTTTCTGCGATACGCGGCGGATGCGGCGAGCATGACGAAGTGTTCGGAGGGAAGACACTGGACCTAGTTTTCTCTCAAAGCGGATGCCGCTCCCTAGCATGACCTCGCTACAGTAGTTCGATGAGTACTGGGCAAAAAAGTTGAGCGTTTGGGTCCTAGCGACGGATCAGCATGACAAAGTCGAGCATTAGAAAGGTGCAGTACTTCTCTAAGGGGAAGGTGTACGGTCCTAAGAGAACAGTTATTTCTGTCAATCGGTGAGCTCCGGAACCAGTAGGCTATCATAGAGAAAATACGACTTCCGATTGGTTCGTGGCATATCACACAGAATCATTTCTTCGTAGTCTACAATGCGCATCTGTGCTGTCTGGTGAACGTTCGTTGCGCGCGTCCGTCGAAAGTAGGTCGCCCCGCCCTCTTCGCGCCCGGCGCACTCCACTGAGGTCTCGAAATGACATTACAGTACCACTAACCAAGGAGGGGTAGTCTATTTACCGTGGGACTTTGAATGGAGACCCAGAATAATCGATAAAGTTTTGAATGCTGTTTACGAAAATGGAAATCAAAACTGCAAAATGGTTTTCCTTAAAAAGTTATGGGGGCTGGAAATTTGCTTGACAGTAGTATTATTTGGATATGCGAATTCGTTGCTTCCGCATCAAGTGCCCACGAGGGGTAGTGGTAGTGGTCTCGCTTCATGGGCGTACGTCGTGGGTTTGCTCCCCGCCATCGCCCACATTTTTGCAAATTGTTTTTTCATTTCATTAAAAACTCTCTAAATGTTTTCTGACATTTGTTTAGATGAACGCCTTATTTCTGCTTTCATTTTCACTCGTCATCCCTGTTCCAGGAAAGTGGCTCTGCACGTCAATTGTACAACTCTATTTTATTTTGTAC